ACTCTTAAGAGATGTAATTCAAGATTTTCCCAAACTGGATTGCCTATCCAGACTTGAAGAGTATCTGCATCATGTAAGGCCCGGTTTATAATCACAAATACTAGGACCAAGCAGTTAAACTCAAATGAGCCTATCGGTCATGATGCCAAACCTCAAAGTGTTCAAAACTGGGTGCTGCTGCCTCTACTAACTGAGATGATGTTGACGTGATTACTGTTATTAGAATATTAGCAACTCTAAAACATGGACAGCTTTTCCTAAGTACCTGACATCTTAGCTCATTCAAGCCTCACAATAACCTGGCGAGTTGGATCCTTTAGATATGAAAAGAGTAGAACAGAACAGTGAGACCCACTGTCAAAGGCACCGTGACAAGCCACCAGCTCTGATTCATAATCTGCTCTAAAAATGTTGGTTGTTGGAATAACTTGGGGTGACCCCATGTTTGCAGGTATAGTTCTGAGCCTGACATATTTGAGGATCCCCTTTTATAACAGAGAGTAAAACTCTGGGGGTAGATTTGTATCAAGTACTTTGTTTCAGATTTAACTCTAAGCTAGAAAACTGTTCATTTAGAGGTTCATAAACTTCTACTGATTCATAATTCAGTAACTTTTTCATAGTGCCTCAAAGCCAAAAGAAATAGCTAACTTTCTTTTATGAAATAGTTAGGGCCAAACAACTTAATAAACACTACATCCCAAAACTTCTAGCTGATTGAAAATATATACACATATATGAGAGCTTCTTTGGAGGTTCTAGAAGGGGAGCGCAGCTACTAGTATACCCTCGTACCCTCGACCGAAGACGGGTCTGTCACTATTTGGGGAAGGCCGTCCTCTTCCACCCAGCGCGCAGCTTCTGGAGGGCCACTCATGGAGCAGTGAGGGAGGATGGGGACACCCGCCTAGCCAGCCAGGACAACCCAATCAACCCTGGCGATCTATGGGGTGACAGATGTCGCAGCCAGATCGCCCTCACATCCTACACATATATGAAACCTGAAAGAAAAATAGTATACTTGCCAATGTGATGTGCCTTTTGGGCTTGGAATTGACATTGTTCCCACCCCTCAGTTCCAACTCCACACTGATTTTTGAGCCTGGCCTGCTTTTATCACAGCCACCCAAACCCAGTTGTGGAAACATCTGATACCATCAAAAGGAACGTAGAGCAATATATGAACAACTTAAAGCTAGGAGTTCCTGTGGTGTTGATAAACATGCAGTATTGCTACTGCTCCCATGAACTCTTCTGGGTACCTCTGCACACAGTTTGGAAACTGTTAATGTGACAACGAAATGGAATTGTCAAAACATTGGACTTCTCACATTTTCTTCCTAGTAGCACTGGGAAACCAAAACTATTAGAAAATCCTTTGAAGGGCCCTCCCTGGTGGTAGAATGCGTTAAAGCACCACATTATGAAGCTCGCTGAAGTCACTGCAGCACAAGTTTGATCTCCAGCAAGGGAGCTTACCCACATGGCACAGGAGACCTCTCCTGACTTACCCGCTGCTCCCCTCAGCAGTGTACTTCATCGATCTGCCTGTTCTGCTCCCCACACTGTCTCTGGTGAATTTTCTCACCCTCTGCACTTCTGGCCTGTACCCTGTTCTGTAAGCATAAGTAAATAAATCTTTTTAAAAAAGAAAAGAAAATCCTTTGGAACCCCAAATCAGTAAGGGAAATGGTTAACATTGACCAAAATACCCTGACCTGGTGTCAGAGCGTCGTCCTGTATAGAAAGCTTGAGGTGTGTGTGTGTGCGTGCACGTGCATGCACGTGCGTGCAGGTGTGTGCACGAGTGTGCAGGTGTGTGTGCTCGTGTGCACGTGTGCGTATTACACTACATCATCTGGGTGTATAAAATACCTCGATAGAACAAAAGGTCCTATCATTTTGGTTTCAGAATTTTCTTTTCTATAACATCTGCTAAAAGGACAAGGATTGATTTGTTAAGTATTCAACTTCTTACTAACTACAACTTTGTATGAACTATGTAGGTACTTTTGAAATGTTTCCTTAAAATTTTTAAATCACCATCTTAGAGGAAGGCACAAAAAATATTTCTACTTTTAAAATGTACCTACTTTAAGTGGTGTAAAAGGGATACTAGTCGTATTTTTCCTGTTGAAATTGCTATTATCAATATTTTAAAAGTCAATAGATTCAGGAAGTTAATGTTAGAAAGGTAAAGTTAAAATAACCTAATGTAGCTTCATCCACAATGGGCTGCCTGTAAGCACCTCATTCATCCATTCTAGCACATTTCAGCCTCTGAATTTCTGATGTCCCTGGCATAGCTATTGTCCATGTGACAATGGTGATCACACTGTTCTTGCTGCCACCTTCTGGTGCGATTAAGGAGTGCCAGTTTTAAAATGCAGAGCAGGGTGTCACAGCAGGGATCCTGCGGGAGGAACATTTTACAGCTACCTAACCAGCTTACTTGGCTTCTCTCTTCCTTTTTATGTGCACAGGTGTGACAACCCAACTATGTTGTGACTGTGTGGCTTACTTGAGCCAGCTCAGACCTTGTGCCAATACCCGGAAGTGCAAACACTGGGGGCCAGGTTTGGGAGATAAATAACTCTGTTATTTATCTTCCTAGTCTCAAAGGCACATGTTCCCACTGCTGAACACTAACTATATTCCCACTCCCCAACTAACCTTTCCCGTTCGCTGCTCCCTTTTCTCAAACTCAGACTTACACCCTTTAATTCTTGTCCTCTGCTATGAACATTTGTTTCTAAACTAAGTAGCACTTTGTTAAAATTTGGACTGAATATATAACAAAGTTGACTTTAAAGCCAGAGATGACAACTGATCCAAAAAAATGTAGCGTTGGAAAAAAAAAATGTAGCATTCGTAGCAGAGAACATCTTTCTAAACAGCCCTTTCTTCTCTGAAAAAGTGGCTCTTATGCCCAGAGGATCTTTCATGAAGTGCTGACCCCAGGAGGCTGCCTGGGTTGGACTCTGACTAAGTGATGGTTTGCAATTTGGTTTAGGTTTGTAGTAAGGTGAAGTGTATATAACCTAAGTACAAAATTGGGAGGACTCAACTGTACTTCATTATAAAGTTGCACTCCATTTCATTCCAAATCAACGTCAGGCAGCAAAACAGCTGCCAAGTGTCTAGAGTGCACAGGAGCTCATTCATCCAGCCAACGGGCACCTTGCTGTTGTTGTGTTCAAATGAAGTGGCTTCATCTGGTGTGGAGGCAAAAATGTGAGGCAGTTATCACACTTACATATTTCAAAGTGGTCTAGCAAATGTTTAGAATAACACCTTGCACGGGAGTCCCATGGAACAGATAGAGCTGGGAGCTCTCCATCACAGGGATGCTGCCCACACCTCCAGTCACTCTTTCCAGTGATTGTGTATAGGAAGCTCTCAGGTAACGCAAGAAAATTTTTCACCTTTGTTCTTCACACACATTTCACTTTAATGTCAGCTAGGAACAGAAATTCTAAAAGGTCAGGTCTCCCACAAAACCCAGTGATAAAGAGAACTGACCAAGCTGTTTCTAACCTGCAATTAAACCCTTCAACATAAACCAGCAGAGAATGCCTTCCTCAGCAAGGGTGGCTCTCCTGTGTGTGTGTGTGTGTGTGTAGAAACCAAATATTCACTAACACAGATACTGCTCACAGATCAAGAGATCAAGTGGGTTGCAGCTTCTTGTTATTCTTTCAATTACAGCAAAAAGGTACTCTGTGATATAATCTGGAGGAATTCTGTGCCTGGTCTGATTTATAATTTTTTTTAAAGATTTATTTATTTGTACAGAACTGGGGTACAGGCCAGAGATGCGGAGGGTGAGAGCATTCACAGAGACAGAGCAGGGAGCAGAACAGGAAGATCAACGAAGTACACTGCTGAGGGGAGCAGCAGGGTCAGGAGAGGTCTGCCTCGCCATGTGGCCACCTTCGGGGCAGGTGGGGATCGAACTCATGCGGAAGTGACTTAAGCTTCTTTGTGCTGTGCTTTAACCCGCTGCGCCACCAGGGAGGGCCCTGATTTATAATTTTATGATTCAAACAGTATTACACATTGCATTGTTCAACAAAAATTTAAGGACCATTTCCCCTAATTTTTCTGTTAATGGCAATTTTACGAGTACCAAATGCTAAGAGGATTCTGGTTCAGAAAACATCTTGCTATTTTTTTTTGATTAATTGAGAATCTATTTATGCTGTGCTTCTTTTTATTTATAAAAAAGAAGCTAATTAAGATTAGTTGACATACCCATGGTCTCAGATCTGGTTATTATTATTTTTTTTAAAGATTTATTTATTTGTACAAACAGAACTGGGGTACAGGCCAGAGGCTCAGGGGCGGTGAGAGGCTTCACCAGAGGCAGAGTGGGGAGCAGAACAGGCAGATCTACGAAGTACACTGCTGAGGGGAGCAGCGGGCGGGTCAGGAGAGGTCTGCCTCGCCATGTGGTCTCCTCCGGGGCAGGGGAGAATAGAACTCATGCGGAAGCAGCTTTAGATTCTCAGTGCAGTGCTTTAACCCGCTGTGCCACCAGGGAGGTCCCCTCAGATCTGGTTATTTTAACTGGAAAATAGTCAACACAAAGTGGCAGTGTACTAGAGTCTTCCAGCTATTGCTTTGATAAGACATTTACTTCATAAAAATTATTGCCTTTTCGAGAAAATAATAACAACAATGAACAGCTATATACCACAGACATTTTATGGGGGTGGAAAGGGAGATGGGATCAAAAACAGTTGGGAGAGGGAAATGCACTGGACTATGGTGATTTGGTGATGGGAAGCCCACATGGATTACAACTGAGAAGGAAAAAATGCACAAAATGATGTAAAAATAAGCTATTATATATAAAAAAATAACATTATTACCTTTTTAAAAAATGAATACCAAGATATTTTCCTATTAGATCATTCCATTATTTGAGTCAATATTACTGTTGCAATCTTTATAAAAGAAAAAAAACAGTAACATCATTACAAAGTTTAGCTTGTGATATTTTTCATTGTATAATTTATTCAGATTATAAAAAACTCTGCATAGTCCTTTACATAGTCATAGGTCAACAAATAGTAAGTACTTTCATGGTTTACTTAAAATACAAGGCAGGAAAAGAAGTTTGCCATAACAACAGTTGTTTCTTTTTTTTAAGAAACTGTTATTAATTTTAAAAAAGAGTTCCAAGAAATTTAATAGATTTCCAAGCAATGATTATTTCAGAGGTCTAAAAGTCAATTCCTAATTAAAACGGCTAACACCGAAGTAGTGATCCTACATTTCCCTTTTTTAAAAAAAATCCAGATAACCTGTCAGATCCCTAAGGTTGGACACTTGACCCAAGCTGCAGCCTTAATCATCCTCAGAATCGCTGTCACTCCTCCGGGGCACTGAACACCGCACTGAGGACAGCAACTTGTCTTCTATTGGTCTCTTAGGGTTTTCCTCCAGGTCTGTCTTGATTGCTCCAGACTCAGACAATTTCCATTCCAACTCTACATAATAAAGAAAAGGCAAGTCACCTAAGACAATCTACAGAGAGTCTTTCACTCTCAAGTCCAGTTTTTTTCTAAGTGGAAACAATATTTAATGACAATTTAATTTTACTGCCATAATTATAAAGTATGGGGGGCAGATAGGGGTTGGAGAACAGATATTCAAGAAGGAAAACCAAAATATTTCAAACACTTATTCTGAAAGTGAGACTTTATTGAAAATCAAACCTATATGGTGACTGAAATAAAAAACAAAGACTAAACCTATTTTCTAATGACTATGATTTCAATTTGAACAATCCCAAGAAAGAAATTAGCAGGAAACATTGAAAGGATAGTCTTTGTAGCCCTGCTCAATTTAATGACTGAATCTAATTTAGCTAATAAAAGAGAATTCTAAAGTCTAATGTCAGCACCTCAAAGTATTAAAGTCAAAGGAAAAATTTATGACATTCTGGAACTGACACATTTGTTTCAAACCAGAAAGAAAAGAATCAGTGACTAAAAGCTTCGTTTCTATATTGATAATCACTAGATTTCACATAATAGCTCATGAAACAAATCCAAGTGATACATTCATCCATAGCAGAGATGCTCCCGGCAGAAATAAAAGACAACCCAAGAGATTCTACAGCCAATAATCTGGTTTAAAAGTGGGTTGATGCTCTACTTCCATAGCCAATTTTACTTCAGTCCTATTAATTTAAAAGTGCTTCATATATATACACATACACATATATAAAAAAGCAGCTGTCAATAATATGTTCATGTAAGTTAAATAAAATAGAAATTGTGATCTTGAGATATAACTTTAAAAAACAAATTCAACTGTAGAGACAAAGTATATCGGTGATATTAAATATGCATATTTTACAGTTAAATACAGTATATTTTACTGAGAATGATTAGAACCCATTTATAACTACCCTCAAATACCAATCAAAGATGAGAGACTAAATGTCTTCTTTAATAATCATTAGCACAGAGACAAAGGTGAATTAAAAAAAAAATCAACATGCGTAACAGAAATATCCTGCTCTACAGGTCAAGTGTCTGGACCACCACTAAGAGGACTTACCATCCCTTGTCAGGCTCATGCCACCAAACACCAGAGGTCCAATAAATTGAGCCTTAATATCACCTTCGAGGTAAACAAATATGGTGGGCAGATTCCGATCAGGGTAATTGGGTATGCAGGTTGTTGAAATGGCTTTGATAAATTTGACATTAGGAAATTTCCTGGCAAGTTCACTGAAGTGCTGATTTATCAGAGCACAGAGGGGAATCCTGTATGACAGACAGCAATTGTGAGGGGAAGAAAAATAGAAGCAATTGCAATTTTGTATTTATAAAGGACAAACATCAACTCCCCTTCTGCCCTAGTATGTTAAGGCTCAGGTTCAGGGCAAATGAAGAACTCAAAATCCGTGGGTCTCCTGGTGGCTTAGGGGGTAAGTCTCAGTGCTATCAATAATAGGGCCTGAGTTCAATCCTCTGCCAGAGAGCTTGCCCACATGTGGCACAGCAGACCTCTCCTGTCTCACCTGCTCCCATGAGCAGTATGGCAGTAGAGCTGCCTGTTCTGCTCACCCCCTGCACCTCTGGCTTATACCCCAGTTCATCCACTCAAAAACAAAAAAATGTAGTAATAATAAAAAATAAAAGTTAAAAAGAAAAACCTCAAAATCAAAGGCCAATTTAAATTGACCCATCAATCTGTTAAAAAAAAAAAAAAACTTCAATGTAAAAGACAATTATAATGTCCTTCTATAAGACAGAATGGGAGAGCATTCAAGATTTAGAATGTAACAGGTCAGAAAGCTTTTCCTTCTTTAAGGAAACTCTGACACCAGCACTGAAGTCCCCAGGCTGAGCGCAAGATGGGAGGCGAGAAACAGCAGTGACCAGTGCTTCACGTGACAAAGGCCATTATTGTAAAGGTCAGTCTCTCCACCCATAAGTAACTTATTACATGGAATTTAGAAATGCCAAAATTTCTCCAAAAAGTACAAATAACTAGGGTTTCCCTTTCAGTAAAGGCAAACTCCTCACTGCTACATTTTAATAAAGGCATTTTGCATTTGTCACAAATACTACTTTAAAAGTCTTAAGACAAAAGTCAGGCATTAAGGTTTAGGCAGATAAGTAACAAAAAATAAAACACTAGTTAAAAATAAAGCCAAGATGTTCAAGACATAAATTCAAACTAACACTTTAAAGTACATAAAATCAACTCACCCTTGTTTGTAAAGGTGCAAGATTACCCATAAGCCCTCACCAGCTTTAGTAACTTCTTGAACATAATCCTTCCCTGAGATTTCTAAAACTTCTCCAAATTTATTCTTCAGCTTAGTTGCTTTCCACTCAGCCAATCTCTGCTGTCTGCACAAGGAGGGAGAGAGGTGTATTAAACACACGCTCACGCACGCACACACCCTTTCAAAACACATTTGTAAAGATCCACATTTACTTGCCTCAAGGGAAAAGTTTAAGTCTGGTTCATTGAAATATGCCATCTCACGATTTCATTATAGTCTTTTCCAAATGTTACTGTAATTAGAAAACTAATTTTTGAAATGACACACACACACAAAACCAGTAGTTCCTCCTGGTAACACTAACCTGTACATTTCAATAGCACGCTCATCCTCCTCATTAAATTCATCTTCATGATCCTCTAGCTCTTCCAAAGTCATAGCTTCATATGTTTTTACTGAAAGTTGGCAAAAGACAAAATTTCAAAGATAAACAGACATTTTTCTATTTCTCTTCTGTACAAAGCAGCAGCAGCAGACTCCCAGTTCCCGTAAGAAGTGTTTAAAGTATTAATATTATGTTAATTAACACAATTTTTAAAAGATAAATCTGTCGATGTCTGCGCATTATCTTACTGCCACACAACAATAAGGGAATGAATCAAAGTTTCTCCAGTATATAAAACTGCAGATGCCTGCAATCACCTGTCAGATCTGCAGGCACATAGACCGACTGACTGTTCTGGAGCCAGGTCAGCAGGAGGATGCTCCCCAGTACACCCCTCCCCTGTGGGAAGGGGACTAACACACTACCTTAGTCTTCTCTTGTGAGTCACAGGCAATCCTATCTTTGCTTTTAATCACGGCTATAAAAATCTGTATTGTGTTTCTATAGCTGTAAACACTCTCACATCTTGACATCAAATCAGATTTTTTTTCCTTGACCCTCCCTCCCCCTGCTCTTATCAAGGCTGACAATGACCTCCCTTTTTTTGACTGATGAACAGCCTTTAGGCCACCCCATCGCTGCCTCCTCTTGGGAAAACTATCCTCCCCTAGTTTCATTTATCTATACCCACTCATTCCCTTGAGACACATCTCAAGATTTTAAATACGATCAACATGATGAAAACTTCCAAATGTAAACCTTCAGCCCACACTTCTCCGATTTGGAGAAAAACTCCAACTGCCCACTTAACATCCTATCCATTAACAAAAATCTCAAAGTTCATATATCCCAAGCAGAATTCCCAGTCTGACCTCCAAGTCTGCTCCTCTCCAGGCTCCCCTTCCCTCAGTGTGTGGTCACTCCACCCACCAGGTAGCTAAGCCCCTCAGAGCCAACCCTGACACTTTCTCTCACAACCCTCACAAGACATATACACAAATTCTGCTAGCTTCATCTTCCTAATACAGAGATCTGGCCTCCTCACACTACTCAACTACTGCCATGCTGGTCCCAACAAATGGTATCTTGTGGCTGAATTACAAAAGCTTCCAGAGTGGCCTCTCTGCTTCTTGCCTTACCCCCACAGTCCTTGCTCAGTAAGGCAACAACCAAATGGTGCCATCAACTGGACATGTCACTCCTGTGTTCAAACCTCCCATGACCTCCACCGTGACATAAAAGCCAAGGTCTTTGCTAGAAGTCAATACAAAGTCATAAATGGTTTGGCTCTTAGCTGCCTCTGAACCTTCCACTACCTTCCTCCAGTGATACTGCATCAGATTTTCCAAAGTGCTTTTCACTTGGTAAAGTAGCTCAGTTTACCTGCCTCAGGTCAATTCAAATGTCCTCTCAGTGAGGCCCTCTCTAGAATTATACTCACCAGCCTCCAACTATTCAAAGACCTTTCCTGCTTTATATTCTATATATCACTTTTGTATTGTTTATTCTCTCTCTCTCCCCCACTAGAGTTTAAGTTACATGAGGATAGAGATTTTTGTTTGGCCAATCAATAGCTAAATCCCACTGCCTAGAACTGTACCTCACACATAATCACTGAATAAACATTGGCTGGAAAAAATGCTTTGTAATAAATCCTCCTCTAAATTAGCTCTAACAGGTATACAGGGAACAAAAGTACTAGACACTGTAACTAATGGTACAAAACTTTGGCATGAATCAAATAAATCTTTTGAGGCATGTGTTTAAAATGCAGATTTCTGGACAGCTCTCCTGCCTACCTGTGACCATGGAGATGCCTTTTTTTTTTCCTTCTCCTTTTCCTAATAAATTTGTCCTTTTTTTATTTATAAAGATTTATTTATTTATGAATACAGAACTGGGGTACAAGCCAGAGACACTGGGGTGGGAAGAAAATTCACCAGAGACAGAGTGGGGGACAGAAAAGGCTGACTAATGAAGTATACTGCTGAGGGGAGCAGTAGGCAGGTCAGAAGAGGTCTGCCATGCCATGTGGGTCACCTCTGGGGCAGGGATTGAACTCATGATAAAGTGGCCTTAGCATCTTAGTGCTGTGCTTTAACCCACTGTGCCACCAGGGAGGGCCCATAAACTTGTCCTTTTATAAGAAAAAAAAAAAAAGCAGATTTCTGCTCACCCTTGGCCCAAGATTCTGATTCAGAAATGACTGGTTTCCTTATAAATCCTCCAGGGATTTCAATTCAGGTGATAGAACTACCTTTAAGAAAACCTCTGTCTCAGACCCCACAAATTGCAAACCTCTTATGCTACCGGTACCATATTAAGTGATTTAAAAGTCTCTATCAACCCACAAAAATAATACAGGATAAACTCAGAAGAATAAGGTACTAAAGACATGGAACAAATTCCTGTGACATTATCCAAAGTAAATCACAGACCAGAAAGCTAAGACTCAGCTTTCCTAAGGATTACCACATTCCTCTGACAAATACAAAAAATTGTGGAAATGAGGAAGCCTCTGAAATGCCCCTGCTTCTCTGGAAGCTGAAGGCACAGACATCCTGACTGTCCCTCAAATGGGACCATTTCAACACTCCAACCTTTGGTCATCAACCCTTGCTCTTAGTATATTTCTATCACAGCAGTTGTTTCTTAGATTGTATACACAGACTGAAGAATACATTCTCACCAACTGACTGCTGAAGGACTTGCTGCTCCTCCTCTTCTGCCTCCTTTTCCAATTCTTTCAAATTATCCTTTGAGGGCAAGATGCCCTTTTTGCGTAAGATGTCATTCCACTCAGTGTCTGCGTTGGGGTCCTAGAAAAGTTGACCCATAAGTACAAAGCCCAACATAGAGGATGATACCACGATGGGTAAGAGGTCAAACAGAAAAGGTAATGGGAAGAGAGGAATGCAAGCCAAATTATGTGAAGGCTCATTTCTGATAAAATGTCAAAAGGCCACAGCTTCTGTTCCACTTTTTTTTTAAAGAGATTTTATTTATTTATGCATATAGAAACTGGAGTATAGGGCAGAGGTGAGAGGGGTAAGAGGATTCACCAGAGACAGAGTGGGGTGCAGACCAGGCAGATGTACTGAAGTACAATGCTGCTGGGAGCAGTGGGCAGGCCAGAAGCAGTCTGCTGGGCCATGTGGGTCAGCTCCCTGGCTGGGGATCAAACTCATGCTGCAGAGGCTGCTGATAGCTTCTTAGTGCTGTGCTTTAACCTGCTGCACCACCAAGGAGGGCCCTCTGTTCATTCTTCTTGTTCTACTCTGCCATTCCCCTATGAGGTACTATATATTTTTTTAATTTATTTTATTTACACATACAAGGGCTGGATGTAGGCCAAACTGAGAGGAAGAGCTGACACCCTGTGGAATAGCTTACAACAGCTAACAATTAGTGAGTACAGGGTGATGAGCATTTTTCTAAGTCTTTTACCTATATTTGGTTAGTTATCTCTCATGCTAATGGAGCTCAGACCTCTTTGGAATATGAAATCAAGGAGCACTGGGGAAATGGCATCCCCAGCTCAGTGAAATGTCTTGCAGATATACAGCATGTTAAAAAAAAAGGGGGGGGGGCTTCCCTGGTGGCGCAATAGGTTAGGACACAGCACTGTGCAAGCTAGCCGTAGCCACTTCAATGTGAGTTGGATCCCCAGTCAGGGAGGCATCCACATGGCCTGGCAGCCCAGCAATGTACTTGGTGGATCAGCCTGTCCTGCTCCCTACTCTGTCTCTGGTGCAGCCTCTGACCAGAGGCTTGTACCCCAGCTCTGTATGTATAAATAAATAAATCTTTTTTAAAAAAGGGGAAAAAGGAACAGACTCATTTCCACAGGGAGGTCAGAGTTGAAGGGTTGACAGTTTTCATCAGGGAAGTGAAAGAGAAAGCAGAGGACAGGTACTCTCCAGTTTCCTCTTCACCACATGAATGTGTGGTTGGTGGTACACACCTGTATTTGTTTTTGATAGTCTTTTCCAGCTCCCAGTGATTTCTACCCCAAACAGACCTACACTAACTCCATCTCTGCCACTGATTCGGAGTATTTAATTAGAATTTAATTAGAAGTCTGCGAGGCAGTAAAATAACTCAGAGGAGAGTCCTTGGATAGGAAGAAAATGCAATTCTTAAGTTTTCTGCTCATAAAAATGCCCATTCCCTGTGTTTTCATGCATTTCCGCTCATCTTTAGTCTAATTTCATTAGCAAGGTCCAAGTACAAGAAATGGGTGAAACTACATTTGATTTTATCCAACAAAGGAAAAGCAAAGAGAAGCCTGAGGGTGAGCTCTGGAAGCCTGGAATCAGAGCCAGAAAGCACATTCACCTGCCAGCGTTGAATGTAATTAACCTCTCATTCACCTCGCATGAAGTGACGAAACATGGGCTCCCCACTACATCTACTTTATGGGGAAGAACCCAGCACTTCTCCAAGCCTCAGCTTCCACTGAAGTATAATGGATCAATAACCCCTAACACACCCACTCAAGCGCTCATGAAAGTTATTACGCGGTAATTTGGTCAGGTGGAATCCGGGGAGCCTTCACAAACCCCTCTGGGCAAAGTGGGGACTCTACAGGGCTGGTAATCCCAAAAGGTAGAGATTTGAGGGGTGGGGCACCCAGCGATGGGACGCCCAGCTCGCGTGTCCCCGCGGGACAGATTCACCCTCCCCCCCGTGCGCCTGCGCCGGGCTAGCTCGCGTGGCTTTGCCGCGGCCCGGGCGGACATGATCGGGCGGACAGGGCCGCTGGCGCGGTCCCACAGAGGAACTCGAGCTGTCGCTAGCTCCAGGCCTGGTGCCCCGCGCCCGCTCACCTGCATTTTGACTCCGATCGATCAAGCAGGCCAGCCCCAGTATACCCCCGCCCCTTAGCTCTCTTCCGCGCACGCGCTGACCCACCGCCGGCTTCACCAACCCGGCATAGCCCCGCCCCCGTTACTGATGGGTGGAGCCGGGGAGGAAACGAGGTATTCGAGTCTGCGCCGGGAACCGGCGGGGGAGATGTGCGCTTGCGTGAGGCTCGGCACGCCTGGGCTGTTCTGGCTCCGGAGCTAACGAGAAGCTGAGCCAGTGACGGGCATTCCCTTATTAGGGCAGGTCCTCAGCCTGACGGGGTAGGGCTGAGTGGAAGTTCTGAGCATGACGTGTATTCGTTCAGCAGCACACCCAGTCTAGGTGTATAAAGTCAGAAGCAGATGCTTTTCAGTGATCCTAGGTTACTATAACACCTAGAACTATCATTGCAAGATTGGCTAATACAATTAGGTCATAACATACATACGAGAGTTTACTAGTTACCAAGCATTCTTCTAGGTGTTGCAGATAGAACAGGGGTCAGAACAGACAAAAAGAGAAAAGTGGGGGGTGGAGGGGGGGGGCATATCGATTGAGCCTCACTCAGGTGATTCGTATTTGCAAAAATGCTAACTGTGGTGGACATGCAGGATGCGCTGAGTAAAAATCAGACTCAGCAGTCTGACGTGGAAAACGCAGGCGTGGGGCTCCAGGTTTCTGTCTACACCGCACTCCAACTTTGAGGTAAGAGAATAATCTTGTTCCTGAGTATGACCTGAGCTAACTTGCTGCCTTGGAAACCAAGCAGACATAGGTAATACTAGAGACCTAAACATCTCTGGGATATACTTAGGACTATCTGTTAGAACCACCAGAGTAACTACAGCTGACCTAGGTCTCCTGGGACAATTAGGTCCCTGAAATGAGGCTCGGGATTGAGATTTTCTTAAAGATTGTCAGATATTGCTAAAGTGTGCAAACAGACACAGACGGACTCAAATGATTCCTTAAGGATGAGGAGCTTTGATTTAATAATTTATAACATCTTAATTTTTGCCCTAATTCCTCACAGAATTAGAGGCCTCTAGGACTATTTGTTTATTAATTCACTTTTTTATCGGGTGGCAAACTGTAAATGAATTTTCCTCAGTCACAGAAACCAAGAGAAGGAATCATTGTGGGGGACGTTTGTCTCTGCATTGCCTTGTGTCCTCCATAACAATGGAGCAGGTGCTATTGTGTCCTTTCTTCATTCCTAGTCTTAGGTATTTCTGGAAGTCAAGTCAGACTCACCTGCACCATCGGATCCCTTTCCATGAGCTTTTAACAAATTCAAAGACATCTCTTGTGCCAGCAAGCACAGGGCAGGTTCACTATCCATTTGGGCAGATAAATAAAGAGATTCCCAGAGCCCTCAGTGGATTCTACAGGTTTTACTGTTCTCTCTGGTAACCAGGTACACAGGCACATCAAACAGGGTGGCTGGCATGCAAGAAGGCAGCATAGGTTCTAGCAGGCAACTCAGCCCCCCAGGTCCCAGCCTCCCTGGAATCTCTGTGCTTTGTCTCCAGGCTCTCTGGAGTTCTCTATCTCTTGACGCCACCTTGTGGTCTTACCTTTCTGTAGTCATGCTGTGTGTGTTCCAGGTGTCCACAATCCCGTGTCTTCTGCATCAACATGATCAGGGTGGTCGCCACAGTGGTTATGGTGTAAAATGCCTGATTAATTAGCCTATAGCATCTTTGAGTAAAGCTCTTTGCTATCCCATAGAGATGACAGGACATGGCAGACCTCTTCTGACCCACCTGCTGCTCCCGTCAGCAGTGTATTTGGTCTTGGCCTCTTCTGCTCCCCACTCTGTCTCTGGTGAATCCTCTCAACACCCCTGCACCTCTGGCCTGCACTGCAGTTCTGTATGTATAAGTAAATAAATCTTAAAAAAAATCAGATCTTTTTTATCTTTCTCATTTAGATAATGAATGCCTTTGTCAACAGGTAGGACACAATGTGGCAAACATAAACTATACAGTTACAGAAACCATTGGTCATGGTGTTCTCCTTTCTCTTGTTTAGGAAAAATAATTGTAACTGAAAGTAACAGTTGCTTAGAATTGACTTTCAGGATTCATAAGAACTTCAAGAAGTTTCAGATGACAGTATTGAGAATTATCTCTACGGAGAGCAGTAATCTCGTATTAAAAAGAATTTACATGTTAGACAAATCTCTTGCCTTAAGATAGTATTAAATAAGAATGTCACAGAATGGCTGTGCTTATAAAATAAGAAAAGATAACACATATAACAAGGTGTCTAGGATATAGTTATTACTCAAAAAATAATTTATAATGATCACAGTAAATGAACACAGCTGCTATTACACATGAAGCCTTGAATTCTAGATGCTTCTTCCTATAAAATCCACCCCTCTCTCATTTAATTGTCTTTCAGGTTGGATGACATTCCATGTGTTCATTTAGAAACTAAGGCTCTTCATTTGGTGATTTTGTCTTCCTCTGTGTGCATGGAGTCATCTGCATACAGCCAAAGGATGAGAAGGAGAAAACAGGTTGAGGTGTGGGAGGTTTAGGCAAACTTCTGCCCCCCATTCATGTGGCTAGAATGTCATTGTGCACCTAGCTGCAGTGGAGACCAGGTGATGTGAGTGGTCTCATTGTGTGACCCAAAGGAAACAAGTTTGGAGAGAATCTGTTTATTTAGCTACAGTTTTTGTCCTTTACTCTTCTATTTTACCTCCTAAAATTCAGAGGTTTTTTTTTTTCATTTATTGGTACTACTGAGATAATACTGCTTATTTTTGAGTACTCAAAGTACTTAAATATTTCACATAATAAAGCTTTTTTGTGTACTTGGTTTTAGTGCAGAGTTTACATCTGTAGGACAAATGAAATGGTCAAGGTTTTATGCCACTGGACTCTGTGGATATCACCTTCAGCCTTGAATGCAGGTGACACTTGGGAGTGTGGGGTACACGTGCCTGATGGTGGACACCTGGAATGTGGTCAGGGCATGTGAAAGTGGGCGCACCTGAGCCTGGAGGTTGGGGCCACATTACTCAGAGAGTGGGGTGACTGTGAGAGAAAGCCACTGAGGGTTCCAGGACTCTCTGTCTCTCTGCCCGAATTGATAAACAACCTGCCCCATGCCTCCTGGGACGACAGCATCAACACCCTTGTATGTAACCCTCTGGATAGAGTGAGGTGAAATATGTACTTTCAGTTGTTCCTGAAAAGGAATCAGTTTGAACTGTCCTGCAGAAAATTGTGAGTTTATTTATACTGCTTGATATAGTCACTCTATTTTGGGGAAATGTTTTGAAATACAGATAAAATCTTGATGTATGAAAACATTCACAAGCACTTTATATATAGTAATAAATAACTGGAAACAATTTAAATTAAAGCCCCAGTGAATGGTTAATTACAGTATATACATACATGTGACAAAGCAAATTAGAGGGCCAATGGTGAATGAAGCGCAGAGGAAAACTTGAGGGGTGGGGGGCATGGTATTAAGTTCAGAGAAACAGCGGAGCCACCTGGGAGATGGTCATGAGGCACAGTGGAGAAAATGCTGATGGTGCACAGGATGCAGGGAAGGAGCAAATTCCCACACCCACCCTGTCATCCTGGGCAAGGGGCTGGGTTTGTCCACCATATGTGGTTACTGCTGAATAACCCTCAGCAAGTTTTTAAATCCAAGTAGACCTGGTTTGTTTCCTTTGTATGCAACCTACCAAGCTGGAACAGAGTGGCTTCCTGGAATTTTCATTTTTGGAAAAGAGGCAGGATATTTGCATCCCTTTGAGTGTCAGGCTGTAATGGGACTGTCAGGTAGCGGTGGCCACAGAAAGGCTGTTGCAGGAGTGTCCTGCCCACCCGCACCTTCCAGCAGCACCTGTGCCTCATGTCCTGTTGACTTCCTATGGACTTGCAGTGGAATTGGTGCTGGCAGGGAACCTGGGCTCTTCTGGCGCCAGCATTTTGGTCTGGGGACCTCCTTGGGCTTAGAGAGGGGGTGATTAGCTAAAGGAGAGGACATCTCCCCATGGTGGTTGACTGTGGAGGAGTCCAGTGGGAGGACCCAGTGCAGGAAGGGTTGCATGGTTGAATGTGGAAAACTGGGGGCTCTGGGGGAGGTTCATTAATGGGCAGGTTCAATCCTGAGCATAACCCTTGATACTCCCCCTCCATTGACCAAACAGCTCATCTTTTCGCAGATTTCTCACCAAAATGGGAAGAGGAGTGATGCCTGGCATTTCTGGATCCAGGGCTTTTAATATTGTGTATGCAACCTACCAAGGTGGAACAAAGACTGGTGCCAACCCAGTTTTGACCATGCAGGGAACAGTAATTTTCAGGGTCCTAGGCCTCTCCGTGGCTCAAAAAAAAAAAAAGAGCTATTCAGTGGGTCTGGGGCAGCAACCCTGAGATTGTAAACTAGAGTGAAAAACATATTGATTCTTCAAAACACAGTACTGTGGATCATTTATCTTAAGTGATACATACCTCATTACTGAAAAGTCTTTTTGCTCTTGCTGAGTGGGAGAGAATACTATCCTCTGATTAAGAGGTACATTTTATAATTCAGTCCATCACTCAAATGCCAGTCAAGCATAAAATTACTTTCCTATTGCTTTCACTCTCACAAACTGTTCTTCACCTGCTTGAGGTCATGTTGAATTTTCCTTAGGGAATGCAAATGAATTCTGCAAGTTCTTCCCATGGCCACCTTCTATTCTGAGTCTGCAGCTACATGTTCTGCAGTCATGTCACCGCTCAGCTCCCTAGTATTGTGGTAGCTTCCCTGCGTTGAAAAGTCACTTCTCTTGGCTTTACTTTATTACAGTAATTTTCTAAGTTTCATTTCACCAGTGTCTGGAAGACAAGACTAACTATAAATAAGTCCTTTTCTTGCAGGGTTTCTACTGATTGTGACTTAATCTCTTGAGGCAAATTGATGGTTTTAATATTAAACTGAAATACCAAGCATCAGCAAAGAGATCAGAGAATTGAGTAAAAAAATAAAATTGTCCGGAAGTGATTTTTTTCCAACTCTCCAAATGGGTTGGTTTGGGCCAGACATATTTGTTTCTTTCAGATATTGAAATA